ACTTGTAAGAGGGAATGGTGGTGTAGGGCGACGCTTGCTACCTGTCTGGTACCTGCTAATTGGTTTGTTCTCAAAACAGACTGGAGCCAGACAAAAGAGAAATGCAGGAAGATGCCTGGAAATTGCAAAAGGGAAAATTCCCAGGGCAAAATCCCCTGTCCATCCCGTGTTTAGAAAAACCACTGCATGGTGTAATTATACGTCAACAAACCTATTTAATCTGGTCAAGTTCCACTATCCTTACCACCGGGAATATTCCTTATTTGCGGGGACCGAGCAGGGCCTGCAATTCCCTCTTATATTAAAGGAGGTCCATGTAGCCTTGGGCGCCTTTCTGTCTTAACTCCTAACACCTCTACGATTTTACAATATTGTCTTTCTCATAGAGCAAAATGTGGTATTCATGCATATACCCCCGATTGTGATGATAACCTGGATTTTTGGACTTTTAGTAAACGCTTCTCTGCCTCTTTCTTGTTACCTGGCGCAGCCGCTGGAAAGGCCTTGGCAACTCTGGATAAACTTGGCTGCTGGCTTGCTAAACAGACTAATGCTAGTAGTAATGCATTATCTGACCTTTTATTAGATGTTGACAGTGTTTGACATGCTACACTGCAAAATAAAGCTGCTATAGATTTTTTGTTACTAGCACAAGGCCATGGATGTGAGGATTTTGAGGGTATGTGTTGTATGAATCTTTCTGACCACCCAGAATCGATTCATGCCAGTATTCAACAGCTTAAAGCAGGAGTTTTTAAGCTCCGGCAGGATGATAGTTGGGATTGGCTAGACAAACTTTTTGGAGGATGGGGTTTGTCAGGATGGTTATGAAGCTTTGTCAAAATGGCTGTGTATGCTTGGGTTCTCTTTATTCTTTTGTTACAATGCCTATAGAAGTTAATTGAGAGATCTATTAAGAAGATTCTTGTTGTGCAAAAGGAAGGGGGAGATGAAGGCCAGAGTTCAGCCAGCCTCAGCAAAACCCCAAGTGTCGCACAACTGATAAAAGAGGACGTGCTGGAACTCGTCGGCTACAAGCCTTGGGAGGAACAAGATAACAAGATTGTCTAGAAGGAACAGAGAGTGCTTGCTCTGTTGAGGAACACAGGCAGTAAATTGTGTTGAAAAAAGGATATGCTAATAATTTTGTGATTTGGGCAAGGAAGGTATGTTAGTATTAACCAATGAGTAAATTCCTAATGCTTTAGAACTAGCCAATCATTAGAAGACACGCTGTTTTTGCTATGGATATAAGGAACCTAAGAAATTCTAATAAATCGACAACGACATCTTGCTTGCATCGAGCTGTGTCCCATCTCTTAATCGCGGCACTGCATCAGCATGGGGG